ATTAATTAGGTCGGATTTTTTTTCTTCAGGAAACAGGCAGACTAGAATAAACAGCAACACAGAAGCGAACAATAAACGATAGAAATGGCAAAACAAAAATTAAATAATTCATCCAAATTTTGAACAATTATGAGTAACATTAGGATAAAAAGTCTAAATATGATATATTGATCGCCGTCAGATGCTGAGCTGACGGGATGCTTTACTTATCTCCCCACCATCAGACTCTCCATCACTCATGGCATTTAGTGCTTCTTATACTTCTGCAGCATTCATAAATCACCTTCTTTTGCTCATTTTGTCTTTATTTATGAAACTGATAACAGCTAATTCAGTGAGTGAAAGGCGTTGCCAAGCAATGTACTATGTTAAAACATAAGCAGCACGAAAATGACAGCGCGAACATACAGGCATTATATAGCGGGTAAATTTGACCCGCGCTGGCACTTATAGGTATAAATGCCCCGTTATTTGATCTGGTTTTATCTAAACAGTTTTTAACAACGCGGATTGTAAATCACACAATTTTAGTAAAAGTCAGTGACTGGGAGACTTGAATGTTTCATTAAAAATCTTTTATGTAAGTTTTAAAAACAGCCACGGGTAAAACACAAGAAATTAATATTCATGGGGCAAGCCTTCTTTCCAAATCCTGCCTGTCAGCTAATCAGGCAGGCCTACAGAGCAAAGACTGTGTAACCTAATTAATATTCATGAGCCAAGCCTTCGCCGTGGCAGCATTCATGAACTCACACCCACATACCGAACCCAGTCTGTTCTACCGATGGAGGAGAAAAACCACCATCTCATCTTTTTTTCAGTTTCATTGACCTCTCTAGTTAAAATTAGAAGAAAAAAAAGAGTCCAATTTGGATTTCGATCAGTTGAAAATGTTACAGTAGGTCAGTCTGTATTGGCTAGCACTGCTTTGTATTCTGCTTTGCTGTCCTCTCAGGATTTTTCTGTCCCTCTGACTGTACAATCATGAACACTGACCATAGGTGATAGACGTAAAGCCTAAGCATGTTTTTTTAATGCGCTCTCATTGAAATTCCAGCAGATGGCTCAGAGGAAGACCTACTACTGTTCCAAGCCTTTCCATTTATAGATTACAACGTGAAGTTTGCTGGAGACTCAGAGACTTAGAAATTACTTTTAACTTCTTCCAAAGTGAAAGACGTCAGCAGTGTTCTTCTAATCTCTTCTGAAAAAAGGAACACTTTTTTATGCTATAAGAGTGACTCTGATTGTCACATTTCTTTCTTCAGTTATAGACAAAGACAGGAAACGTTTGATCACCAGAACAAAATGGTGTGTGATGTTTTACATGTTTTTATTAGTGATTTCTGTCGTTATCGTGTTGCCACAGAGAATGATGGGTAAGTTGGTCACATATAACCTGACTAAAAGAAAAGTATTTTTTCATATCTTCCACCACGATTCTTTAAATGACAAGCCTCCCACTGAGTAAATTCAGAGTTTCCCATCGTAATTATGACATACTGATCATTCAGCATGGGTTTTTTGGGCACTCAGATCATGACAAAAAAGCGTCAAGCATAGGGATGAAATGGTTACCAGTTTGACGATAAACATCCAGACGGTTAGTATTACCCTTTCATGTTTAAATGATCATTAAAACCATATTTGATTATCATTTGATTATCACGATTTGAAAAACTTGCCGTAAATACTGCTCAGCATTAAGCAAAGTTAGTAAGAGTCTCATGCAGGCGTAGGATTTGATTTGTGTGACGACATGAGTGCTGAGAGATAAATTACATGAAAGAATGTATGAATAAATTAATTCTATGAATGCATAAGGGGGAACCGACTATCTTTAGAAAAGTTTAAATGACATTTGCTTTTGATCTTCCTTCTGTGCAATGCCTATTAAAACAGTGTTTATAAGCCCACTGCTTTGTGTACAGAGGTTACAGCTCTATTTCTGCTGTTCCATCAGCGCCACCTGCTGTCAGACAGTGGAGTTACATTTTCCTTCAGCCCGTCTGCTGTTTTTGTTCAGACCAATGCGAAAATGGGACCAAACATTAATCTTAACCGGTCGATGATCTAACCGGTAGATCTAAAAATCACAACACTAATAACACTAATAAGGTAGCCTATGTAGAATTGTTTATGGAGCAGATAAAATGCCTTTCATTTATCATTTTGACTCATCCCTTTCTTAAAAATGACTTAAAGGCTGAAATGTGAGGTTTATCGTTGTATAAAAAAATGTTTAGTCAAAACTTTATTTGAACGTAGTACATTTTAGTAGACAGTGCTTTTATTTGTTGTTTGTTGATTTAAGTGATTTCAGTATGTGTTTCAGTACTTTTTGAACATTTCCAGCCCATTTTAATAATACTGTAATAATAGTGATAACTGTCTTGGTCATTTTGGTCACTATAATTGTGATATGACATTTTTATACCATTTCATCTGTAGTCAAGAGTGTGTAACAAAAGAAAAATTTGTATTTTGTTGTTTTGACACTGTAGGTGTGGGTTTGGGTAAAAGCTCACTGTTGTTATTAGGGTATTAGGGTTGTTATTAGGGTGTGAGTTTACTGTTCAACAGTAGAAATATGTCAGTATTCTGCTATTCCACAGAATCACTCTTAAAAATGGTTCCAAAAGGGGGTTGTCACAACAATTCCGTAGAAGAACTAGTTTGGGCTCCTCAAAGAACCTTTCAGTAAAAATTATTAAAATATGATGAACATTTCAATAATCTAAAGAACCTTCTTCCACTGTAAAGAACAATGGAAAGGTTTCATGAGTGTTAAGATGTCAATAAAGAACCTTTGGTATTATAACAGAGCTGAAAAAGCCTACTCTGTCTCCATGTGTCACAGACAGGTGCTTTCAGTGCAAACAGCTTCATTGATTGGATTCTTTGGGGGGGGGCGGGTTCATGTTGCAAAGTGCCACAATCAGTGTAGACGTGTAGGTTGTTTATGGTTGACAGTGATATCACAACTTGCTGCATTAAAGTAATTCAGCTGATGAGCAGTTACTGATGTGAGCAGCAGTAGCTTCCACTGGCTCATCTAATTCGAATTCAGAGTCTGAACAATCTGTTTTATAATATTAGTTTTATTGTTTTGACACATTTTGCTGCATAATGTGGAGCTGTTATTGCACTGATGTCAGATGCAATCATTTGTTATGAATAATTTTCAATTTGTGTCCATCAGATTCTAAACAAAAACAGAAAATCTAATGAGATGAAGCTCCTTTCATTTTGTGATTTTTACATTTACATTTATATTTAGTCATTTAGCAGATGCTTTTATCCAAAGCGACCTACAAATGAGGACAATGGAAGCAATCAAAATCAACAAAAGAGCAATGATATACAAGTGCTATAACAAGTCTCAGTTAGCTTAATGCAGTACATGTAGCAACGTTTTTTTTTATTATATAATAAATAAAAAGAAAACAGATAGAATAGAAAAAGAATAGAGCAAGCTAGTGTTAGAGGCCTTTTTTTGCTTTTGTTAAGTGTATAATAAATGAAAAGAAAACAAATAGATATAATACAAAAAGATTAGAGAAGCAAGTGTTAGGTTTTTTTGTTGTTTTTATTAAAGAAAACAAGCAGTTAGTAAATAAATAGAGTGCAATAAAAGGGGAAAGTTTTTTTTATAAAGAATAGAATTAGAATAGAGAGTGCCAGAGTTAGAGGGTCAAATAAAGATGGAAGAGATGTGTTTTTAAAAAATATATTTAAATTTATTTTAAATTGTATTTTAAATTTTTACAATTTAAAAATATTTTAAAATTATTATTGATTTTTAAATGTTTTTGAAAGAAGACTCTTCTGCTTATTAAGGCTGCATTTATTTGATTAAAATACAGTAAAAATGGTAACATTGTGAAATATTATTACAATTTATATTAACTGTTTTCTATGTGAATATACAGTGGGTACGGAGGTCTGAATACTTAGGACCATGTGATATTTCAGTTTTTCTTTTTTAATAAATCTGCAAAAATGTCAACGATTCTGTGTTTTTCTGTCAATATGGGGTGCTGTGTGTACATTAATGAGGAAAAAAAATTAACTTAAATGATTTTAGCAAATGGCTGCAATATAACAAAGAGTGAAAAAGTGAAGGGGGTCTGAATACTTTCCGTACCCACTGTATGTTAAAATGTACAGTACATTATTGCTGTGATGTAAAGCTGAATTTTCAGCATCATTACTCCAGTCTTCAGTGTCACATGATCTTCAGAAATCATTCTAATGTGCTGACTTGCTGCTCAAGAAACATTTCTGATTATTATCAATGTTGAAAACAATGTGGAAACCATGATACATTGTTTTCAGGATTCTTTGATGAATAAAAAAAGAAAACGTCAAAAGAACAGCCTTTATTTAAAATAGAAATCTTTTGTAAGATTATAGAGATCTTTACTGTCACTTTTGATCAATTTGATGCATTGCTTGCTGAATAAAAGAATTGATTTCTTAAAAAAAAAAAATAATAATATAATATCATTACTAAGTTCATGTTGAAATTTACATCTGCCACCAGTCAAATGTAGGTATTTTTAAGCAGTGCCAGTGGCAGATTATTTTGCTCATCTTCCCTTAAATTTAGTTGCTTAAACACAAGGAAATTACATTTTTAATGTATGAGCAGTCTGAATTAAATGTGATTATATAAAAAAACTGTTTTAAAAATATAGCTGCAACAAGCACAACAGAGGGAAAATGAAGAGCTGTCTTTAATTACTCAGTAAAGACCAGGGTTCTCCAACTCTGCTCCTGGAGAGCTAACGTCCTGCAGACTTAAAGGAATAGTTCACCCAAAAATGAAAATTTGATGTTTATCTG